GTTTTGCCATTGCCTTCTTCTGTGTGTGAATGGGGTAATTGTTGGGATGCCACGGAGGAAAACTCCGTGTTGCCTAGACCACGGCCTTGCCCAACACAAGTTATAAATTCGGGCACCGCCGGGAATCGAACCCGAGACCCCACCCAAGGATTACAAGGCCAGCGTTCTAACCGCTAGACCACCGTGGCGACAGAAATTTAAATATGAATGAATGCATGTAGGAATAACAGCGGCGTAAATATAGACTAGGACTGTGTGCTCTTGGCGATCAGTATTGCCACTTGCTTGTGTGTACTTCGATGTGTGGCGGTTTCGGTTTCAGATGTTGCCTCTACTGATTCTCGCGTCTTCAGTTGAATCGCCGTTAACGAAGACCGGTGGATTGGTCGTCGATGTGGTACATGTAGCACGCATGGCTTGACTTGAACTGAAGATAAGAGCTGGAAAATCAAGGATTCGATTGGGGGCGTGGATAATATTAAATAATGGTCTTGTAGAACTCGGGGTGTGGATTTTGTTGGTTTGCGGGTCTTGTGACCTCGGTGACGAGCTTTCGTTTTACAAACATAACACGAAATCCGTTGACGAGTTGGGTAATTGTAGTAGATGACTGTGGACAGTGAATCAGTTGCTGTCAGCGAGGGGAGGGGAGGGGGGGACTGTCATGAAAACCGCCCCTTAATTCGAGCTGTGACTGCGATGTCGCCTGAAACGCAGACTACACGTCTCGTGAACGTGACGGAGAAGTTGCCGTCAGCGCTAGGCGCTATGTGATTTCTTACGTTCAACGAAGACAATTCTCTTGAAGGCGGACCTTAATATGGTTATAAATTTCAGTCAGTCTGTTTATTAGCATCTTCATGTGATTTTAACTCGGATTATCGTCACCGTTATCATGGAATCTCATTCCCGTTTGCTGTCCTGGCCCAGTTCCATCCAATCAGAGTCTGCATCACGGACTTTCATAAGTCATCACCCGTCCAAATGTGCCCCTGACTCGCGAGTGGCCATTTCATCAGATTTGCAGTCACTCTATTAATTTATCTTGTGCTCGGAGTCGGACCAACCCCCACCGTTCAGTGATTCGAATCCTAATACACAGCAAGGTTTTCTTCAGTGCCTCCGGCTAAATACAGGGGCATTACTCTATCTCATGTCGCGGCGATTTCCTTCAAATTTCTCTCAAGTTCGCAAATTGTAAATAACCTCTCGTGTTCACCGTGTTATTTATTAATGGAGTGCTATTAGATAAAATGAGAAACTTTTGAACACCTACACAGAAATAATAATTACAAAGGCTTTTTTTTAGGATGTCATGACATGTCGAGTAGTCTCTGTACATCGCCCTAATGACACACGCAGTTCGTTCTTCTGAAAGGTCTGTCAGTATCAAACTGATTACAGGGTGCAGCGTCTCAAGAGATTTTTCACCGCACTCTCGCCAAGATGGTAATTACGTTCTATTCTCTCTCTCTGCAGATCATAAACAAGATGGAGGCTCGCGACGGAAGAAAACTTTTACGTACAATGTCCTTCATATCCTCGAGAGCCAAAGCCCTTCGCCAGCGGTTCGTTCCCACCCAGAGATCCATGTCGGACACCTGGCAGAATCACCGCGCGGAGGGATACATCGAAGACGATCCTCGTCTACCATCGCCAGACCTCGGAGGTTCGATGCTGTCGCTGTTAAACGAGCAGATGCTGTCGTGGGACAACGGCGCGGAGATCGACAACACCGCCTCGGTGTTTCGTGCCCAGCGCTCAAGGTCACTGGACTCTCTGGGGTCGGCTCCTGTGTTGGGTTCATCCGCGATCAGTCCTCCAGCGCTCCAGTTCCAGAGAAGAATGTCGTCCAGCACGCAGGACACGATCAACTTGAAGATACCGCGTCCGACTGTGTCCGGACTGCTCATCGCCGACCTGGTGTCGCCGTCGTTCTCCACATCGCCGATTCCAAAAATCCCCGGACCTCCGCCGTCTCCGCTTAGGAAGTCGGCCCCCACGACTCCGAGACCAATTGACATGTGTTCACCTCACGCCCCCACGTTTTTCATTCCGAAGATACCCGGTCCCCCAGCGTCGCCCAAACCATCCCGTCCCTCGTCCCCACTCGCTGCAAGACTTGCAGACCTGAGCGCAGCGAACACGAAGGTCGCGGCGCACCGCGTCTCTCCCAATCTCGTGTGTTCACCAGCGCCAAAATTCGGCGATTCCTATTACTCCGATTCGTCGCCTCGCACTGCCCACTCCCTCCCGGTATCGCCAAAATACTCCTGTCCTACTCCCAAGTTCCTGGACGCATCTTTCTTTGATTCGCAGATAATACCGAGAATCCCTGCGCCCCCGCCTTCCCCGAAGGTCTTCAGACCTCCGGGGCCGTTCTCCCCTGCCACGCGGCCAAGTTCTCCGAAGCCACAGGATCAGGTTCGTCTCCTGGACAATTGCTCAACGGGTTCCTCCAAAGAAGCCACTTCAGCAGTGTCAGCTGAACTGTCTCCTCGATCGACGACTCCGTCTACAACCACGACAACCAGCAAACCTCGAGCTGATTCCGCGGCGGGCGACTCCGAATCCTTCGACCAGGAGGAAAATCGCGATACCATAGTCGAAGGTTCCTTGCCCACCCGACCAACGCAGTTCGAGCTTCGACCTCGTCCGAAACTGAAGCATCAGTGGTCGATGGACGAAACGAGATCTGCTTGCAGGCCTACCAGACAAAGCACCGAGGTCCTCGGCTCCAACTCCTGTGCCCTTAAACCTTCTGAGAAGAGACGTCGGTTCTTCATGAGGAAGCAGACTAACTCAGCGCCGGACTCCTTCGACGGCGTGTGTCCGGTGCCGCCTCCGAAGCACAAGGAACACCATTCAGTGGGCTTCTGCCTCGGAAACGTGCGACGATGTCGCGGTTCGGAGAGCTCCATCCAGCCTCCGGCCCTCCCCGCCATAAGTAAGTACACTCGGCCGCTCCTTTCAAGTTCACGTTTGAGTCGACGTCTCACGTCGCCTCGGGATCTTTGAACCCGAAGACACAAATCAACAACAATGGCTGTCTTTTGGGCCCTGATGATGGAAGCATCGAGGACTTCCGAAACGTCTGTAAACTACTAGCAGACTACACGGCGCAAACACCCAGAAGACAGACAACTTCAAACTGTCCTGACTTGGCTAAGAAAGGAATTACGGAGTCTGCTAGAAGTTTACAGACGTTTCGGAAGTCCTCGATGCTTCCATCATCAGGGCCCAAAATACAGCCATCTTGAAGACTCCAATTCCTACTTAGGACACGTTTCTTAAAATAAGTTCCCAGTTGCTAAGTTGCTCATGAATTTTGATTTTTTTTTTCTCGTAATGTCGATTGGGATCATTATATTCACTCAGCGGGCACGCCGACTATAAAATTACTATTAAAAGTAAAGCCGTCCCGCTACACGCCATGTGGGCGCTTGGGGGGGAGAGGACGTATAGCTCCTACTCATTTTTGACCTCGGCACTAGATGGGGGTCAGAGTCACGCCCCGGCCATGCTTTACCCCCGGGAAAGGACCCCGGTACCCATTGGACACGAGGCTGGGTGTGTCCCAGAGCCGGTCTTAACGCAGAAGCTAGGTCGAACCCCGGCCGTTCGGTCCGTAGTCTGTACTGACTGAGCTACCCTGAGGATGTTAAACATCTAAATGTTGTTTTTGCTTCAAAGGTTCATTTGTTGATATTTTATAATGAAATATAATTAATTTTTAACCCTTAATTAGGTTTGAAAACATTTTAAAAATACTAATACAGCGTTTTATTTCATGAAATGTACAGGCGTGAGAAACATCTTTAAAAAAAAGGTGTATTTTTATGATTTTTAAATTTATTGTTAAATGTGCGGTGAAGATATTTGGAAGCTTACAATTCCGTTCTTACAAATAAAAGCATTATTAATTATTATTGTAATATTTTAATATTTAATAAGAATTATTGTGATTAGACGGACAAGATTTAATATATATAATTATTAATTTTATAAATTGGCCTCGGCCTTTTTTAATGTCGACTTTGTGGTCAGTTCTATTTTCGAATTTCGTGTTTCGACCAACGGCGACCGAGTTTCTCGGCTCGCGGGAAAGAAACGTCAGAGGAATGTGACTCCCAGATTACCTTTGTCCTTACGAGGGAAACTTTCCGGTAAGGGCCGCTTAGAAACACGTGACCACCTGAGGCCCGTCACGTGGGTGGAGTAAAATCATGGCCGCCAACTTGCTGAGCGCTAATTCCAGACTTAAACGCGGGGGAGAAAAGAATTTCCCTCAAGCAAGGAGAATTTTTAATTCCGATTTATTTAATTCAAATACGGAACGGATTACGCAGACAGAATTTCAAAACTTGGTTTATTAGAACTGCTCATCGTGAATTCTGGATAAACGATTCTGGGCGTGTAAAATATTTGACAGAGCCTGTCTTAAGGCCTAAGACGTATTTTTTTTCTTTAATATCGTCCATAATTTGATTCTGTAAGTAAAGTTAAACCTCATGGAGTCTTCTGCTGTCATAATATCGCAATTTAAATTCAATTGAATTATAGCGTCATTCAGCGCTCGATGTTAGGAGTAAGGGATCTGAAAGGTTGAGGTGAGAGCGAGCAGTGGATCAGCTGGGAAGCCGACGCCACA